TTTTCACGTTTGTTGGTCTTGGTTCATAGTAGTTGGCTTGCAATAAATGGTCTTCTATTTATAGCATGAGGAAAACGACTGTTACTGCCTTCAAAAGTGAGGAGCAATTAATGTTTGCGTGTTAGCTTGCATTATTGTTTCTTTCAATGAACTAGCGCAGAGACACTTGAGTGCTTTATCCGTCTTTGCATTAAATGAACAAACAACACTTTCAGATCTTGTTTCCTAAAACTTGATAAGACTGATTGCTTCTTTAATCTTTCAGAACTTGCTTCAGATCTTGCTTCAGAATTTGCTTGCAAATAACTTCTCATCAGAGCTTGCTTGCAAAATACTTCTGAACAGAGTTTGCATGGAAACTTGCTAAGATTAGAGGATGCTTTAAATTTCTTCTTATCAGAGCCAGCGTCAGAACTTGCGCTAAATAAATAGTTCTTTCATCAAAGAACTTCTTCATTTTTATTCAGCTCAGCACGTAAAATGATTTTCACCTTAGAAAACACTTCAGTCAGAACATTATCTGAAACAAAGAAATATGCTCATCAGAGTATCAATTATACAAAATATATTTTATTGTTATCATCAAAACTATGAGATATGATCAGAACCAAACTTGTTCTAACACAAACCTCAAATGACATAACCAACTACCCTTGTGGTCGACAATAGTTTTTAGACATTGTACTTCAGTCGAACTGATCATAGTCTTAAATGTCCTGTTCTTTGACAAAGGAGATTTCAAGACTAAATTGTTCTGGGTGTCGATAAATTTTAAAGCTCCACCTTTCATGACAGCTGGAAAACCTTTTTCGACCAGTTATACAACACTTAACAGGATGGACTTTATTCCAGGTACATAGAGTACATCTTTGATCATAGCTTTCCCTCCATTACTCATTTGAAAAACTATGCTGCCAATACCTTCTGCTTGCAACGAACTATTATCAGCAAGTTTTACCTTGCTCTTCTTCCACTCGTCGAAATCTACCAACCATACCTTTTGACCATTCATGTGATTCGAGCAGCCTGAGTCGAGGAACCAGATATTTAGATTCGACATGGTTATCTGCAACTGTAACCATAACCACCGTACCTTCAGAATCATTTGAATCTCGGTGTGTAAGGTTCACTCCTTCGTCATTTCCTGTCGATCCCTTGTCTTTCCTGTACCAACAATTCTTGGAGAAGTTACCCCACTTTTCACAGTTATAGCACTACACACCTTTTTTATATTCTTTGTCCTTTTAACAGTTTCCTCCTCCCCTTTTTGAGGATTCAGAAGCCCTATCATCGACCTTATTCTTGTGAGGATTCGACCAAGACTTCTTGCCCTGAGTCTTGTCTAACTGGCCTTTGAGTTTATTGGATCCACCATTATTTTTCCATGACTAAGCTTGCAAAGTTTGTATCAAATCTTGAAATCCTTTTCTTTCAACAATCCTAATCTCACGTGCTTCCAACGAACCAACCAAATCTTCCAGTTTTAGGGTTTCAAGTTGATTGGCTTCTTGAATAGCAACGATAATGTGATCAAAGTGAGAGGTCAACATACATATTACCTTCTCAACCATCATCTTACCAGCTAGGGTTTCAACACAACCCTTCATGAGATGAACGAGTTTCTGCACCTTCGACACATACTCTGCAATCTTTTCATCTTCTCCCAACGGCAGTAATTCATATTGTCGACGCGAGGTTTGTAACTTGACAACCTTGAAGTTATCACCTCCTTCATAGTACTTGACAAGAATATCCCAGGCCTCCCTCGTCGATTCAGCATGATAGATCCTATCAAAGTTCGTTGCATCAATCGTCGTCTAAATGCAATACGCATCCTTGCAATCCTTCTTCTTGGCTTCATTGTGGGTGGTTTTCTGTGTGTCGGTTGCATTTGCAGCCATCGTAGGAATATCGCCGATAACCACTTCTAGGGTTTCATGAAAGTCAAATAAAGATTGCATTTGTTTTCTCCATCGAATCTAATTCTTGTTGTCAAGAGTTGGAAGAGAATTTGGAATTCCATTAGTACCATTCATCTTTGCAGCGATTGATTGATAACAACCCACAATCCCGAAAATATGATCTCTGACGTGTGATTCTTGAAAATACGATCAATAATCTAACCTGGCTCTGATACCAATTTGTTAGTGTGTGATACACTTTTAGTGAGGAGAGAAAGAGAGAATAAAGAAAATAAGGATTTTATTATTAACTTGAATCGTACAAATAATGATACAAACTATGACTATTTATATACACCTAACTTATACACTAAGTAGGCTAACAAATACTAATTGGATTTGGGCTTAGGTTACACAACTTGGATTATATCTAATCTTATATCAAATATTTCATCAATATTAACCAAAATCTGAACTTTATACATATTAAATTTTTTATGTCAGAATATATATTAACCAAACTTTGAACTATATTAACCAAATTTTAATATTTTATTAATCAAAATAGTTTTTTTCAAATATATTAAAAAATTAAAACAATATGAAAATACTGTTCACATATTTGTGAACATTATATACGGTATAGTGTCATTTTTAGTGTAAAAGTATCATTTGGGAAATAAAGTAATGATACAAATGTTTTATCTATAAAATGGTTAGCTTAGTCGTACTATCAATCTCAACAATTGTGTTTCGTTCTCCAATAAATTAGGATTTTCATATGATGGCTGATAGCAAAAATGACACAACCTCAATCAGAACCCTAATATCACCATCTATGGCAGATCGTTCACTCGATCTTGCTGCAGAAATACTGTGTAGACTCCCAGTGGAACGCCTTCTTCAACTCCATCACGTCTGCAAGTCATGGAATTTTCTTATCTCTCTTGATTCCAATTTTGCCAATAAGCAACTCAGTTTCTCAACATCCCTTCGTGACCGCCACCACCTCATCATATCCTCCACTTAACCTTTACGTGAGTTTCTTCTATGTCATTCACTGATCTCTTCTCTCTTCACCTCTGATTCCATTATTATTGTAAACCAGATTAGGCACACTCTAACAAAGGTTCTTAATAATAGAAATAATCATCTGAGAGTTTCTGCTTGTGATGGCATTCTCTGTTTATGATAAATGAGTCTTTTGCTTTTTTGTGTAATCCTTCTATTAGAAAATTCAAAGTGTTACCTCATTTGAAAAATCCAAACCAAATATGTTTCTAAATCTTCTATACCTTAGTGTATGACCGTCTTCCTAGTAATTATAAGATTATTGCTATTGCTCACTGTAATAACAAAATAGAAGTTATCGTTCACACGCTGGGTACCGATTATTGGAGAAGAATTCAGGATTTTCCAAATCCTTACCTTGATTTAGAACTAGGAATATTTGTGAGTGATATTGTTAACTGGTTAATACATGATATTAGTTTGGCACGTGTAATTATTTCTCTTGATTTAGAGAAGGAGTCGTATCAAAAACTTTCACCCCTAATAGTTTCACTCACAACAGGTTCAGTCACAATAGGTTCAGTCACAACAGGTTCACTCACAGCAGGTTCACTCACAATAGGTTCACTCACAACAGGTTCAACATTAGGCACATTCTACATCATCATGAATGAATTTATCTAATTCACTTGGATCCACAATCTTAGGTAGGTCAGACACTTTATGCTCAACATAAACATCTATCAGCTCGTGGCCTACAATATCTTGGGCAAACTTGAGCACATCATTATCATTGTTTAATGGCCTAAGACCACAAGTAAAGCTTAATATGTGGTTCCTATATCACATGTTATTGATGTCTATATAACTCTGGCTTTTAATTAGTCCCTCCAAATCCATGTATGACATATAATCAACATCCCAATTCTAATCGATTTCAGTTACCTCACCGCCAACATACAACTGAACAAATTCAGTTACAAATCTACCCCTATGATGGAGTCTTATCCTAACTTTAGTCTCCTGACTCGGTCCAGAATTTACAATATTCAAATACGATATTAATAACTTAATCCACAGACAACAAACAAAGAAACATGGTGGACCACAAAAGAAATACGACTTTAATAACATGTTGGACCACAAACAGACAAAAAGAAGCATCGTGGACCACAAACAACACAAAAACCATGGTGGACCAAACATAACAATCATGACCTAAGCATCAATAAATATGTTCCAAACGAGACAAGAAAACATACCTCAGATAAAATTTCACTTGTTCGTTAGTCATCTTCAGTCTCGTTCTTTGCTTCTCACCTACTATCTGGTTGTTCTTCGTGCCCTAGCTACGATGGAAAAAAGATGGATAAGCTAGCACGATCAGATGGAACGAACGATATTTAAGGTTATAAACTATACATTTCCCAATTTAAGTTAATTGCAATTAATTAAAAAATGTTTTAAAAAAATACAAATTATTTTTAATATGTAAAATATAGATCTGAATATAAAAAGTAAAAAATCTGACGTGGATGCACAACTCATTTGCCACGTCATTAATTGCACATCCAGATAGAAGGGGACTAGAAAAATCTCAAATAAGATAAAATTTAAGGACGTGAAAACTGACTTTTAAATTGAGGGGTCTTAAAACTTCAAAGCTAAATTTTGAAATAGAATGATAAAAAAATTAAAAATACTAAATAAAGAGATTAAAGTACATTTAAACCTAAATGCATAATTTAGCTTCTAAGAACTTAGATCTCAAGTATGAGTCCTATGTTTTGCAATTTTACATCTCAACTTCTTAACATTCTAGTATATAATAAACAAAATATTATTGATGTCGTACTAAACACGAGATTCTTCATGTGGTTTATATTTTATTAATAGGAGGTAGTAGTATTAAAAAGAAGAGTGCTTTTAACATTTTTAAAATTAAGATATGCGAGAGGCCCATAAATAAGAAAGAGAGAGTGGAGGCCCATAAATAAAGCCGGCTTTCAATTCAAACAACAAAAAAACACAACGCCACGCTCTATCCTCTTATGTTATTCCTCAAAACTGTGTTCTTACACATGTGCTATGGAAACTTCACTTTCTGTTCCTTCTCCATTTTTATCTGCATTCAGGTACCTTCAATTCTTCATTTTTTTTTAGCTTTCAATTCTCAATTTTACCATTTGTAATGGTTTGTTCTAATATGTTTGTTATATGTTCCACTGTTAGGACAAACAAAGAGCTTCCCCATGTTCTGTCACTTGAGTTCAAAAGAATAACATGCTTTTCGGGTTGTGATAAAAAACAAAGTTACAATGAAAACGTTTATGTTATACCCATCCGAACCGTGTCTCGATTCTGCATTTCAAGGTCTTTTGCTAGGTCATTGGAACTTGGAGGGACAGGACCACCGCATAGTGATGTTCATTCACCTCCAAACTATAATCAGAGGTGATTCAAATGATATATACTTCTTTCTTTCTTTGTATTTTGATTGAAGGCTTTTTGAATTCAGCAGCTTTGAGAAAGATTTGGAAGAATTATTTGGTCAAGTGAAAAAAATGATCCAGATGGGGAAGAAAAATGATGCCATAGATCTGCTTAATGCGAATTATGAAATGGTGAAAGAGAGGCTTAGTGTAGGCACTAAAGGAATAGAAGAAGCTGCTATCTTAGACATACTTGCACTCGGTTATATAGCTGTTGGAGACTTGAAATTTGTTGGTTATCTATTGAATTTGGTATTTTTTTTCCACCGCCATCCTCTTTGATTTCTTGTTATGCCAGTGCGCTGTTAGTTCAGTTTTCAGAATCTGTATCATGTATAAGTGTAGTAATCAATGCATTATGTATTTTCTTTATTGTCCAGTTGAAAGATGTTGTTGATACCTTAAAGGATGATGCACCACATCTAAGTTCAATACTTATGCATATGGGAAGTATGTATGCGACATTGAACAAGTTTGAAGAGTCACTAGACACGTATCAAAGGGCTGTCTACATTGTGGAAAGGATTTACGGTGAGGGCATTTTTTCGTTAGTAATGTTAGTCTTAATCTGATATTTTATTTACCTACAGTTATTGGTTGCTGGTATTTCGTGTTGGTTATTGGTTTGATTAAAAGACTGGTGGAATTTTCTCGGCATTTTTCAATTGGGCATATGTAGTCTAATCAGAAGCTACTTTAAATGTTTTCCATCTCTAGATAGATACATTAGTGGAAATCATCAGTGTATTGCTGTGTTCCATTTTTCAAATTCTGGTATTCTCAATATGGTTATTCTTTTAGGTAAGGATAGCACTATTCTTGTCACGCCCCGTTTGGGTATGGCAAAAGCTCATGGTTCAATGGGAAAAGCCACAAAAGCAATAGAGATATACCAATATGTAATCACGCTTTTGGAATCAAATAAAGGTGTTGAAAGTAAGGATTTGGTAGTACCTTTACTTAGTCTTGGAAATCTTTTACTGAAAGAAGGAAAAGTCGATGATGCTGAAAGTCGTTTTACTAGGTTAAGCTTCCTAATTTCGTTTTCTCCTTCCATATTTAGTGCTTAAGTGGCTCTGCTTTTTTCTATATTAACTTGTATTTGGTGTTTTTTGATAGGGTTCTTAACATTTACACAAAAGTATATGGAGAAAATGATGGGAGAATTGGAATGGCTATGAGTTCCCTAGCCCAAGTAAAGTGTGGTCTAGGTAACTTCATAATCATGCTCATCTAATGTCTTTCCTTCCCGCGTCCATTGTTTGTTTACCGATTCCACAGTTACCATGAGAGTAGGTTAAAAGTTATTTCTAGTATAATGGATCTTGTACCATTTAAAATAATGGTGGAATAAACACCTTAATGCACACGAGATGTTTATTAGGTGTTGATAGAACAGTATGATTGCATGTGCAAAATAGTAGAGGCTGGATGTTCATTGTTTGATATGAAAATTACTGCAATCATGGTTTTGTTATCTCTTTAAATGGGATCAAAGCATGGTTATCAAATCGAGACTCAAGTCGTGAATCGGAAGAAATGTTGATGTGCAATATATTTTTGCAGGGAAGTCAAGTGAAGCAATTGATTTACTCAAAAGTGCTCTTAAGGTCATGAAGGATTCAAATTACATGTCACTGGATAACAGTATGTTGGAGAAAATGAGGCTAGATCTAGCTGAATTACTCCATACCTCTGGGAGGTAAGCTTTATGATCCGTTTGAATCTTTAGAAAACGTAATGACTTTGTTGTATCACTAAGATTAGATTCGAAGAAATAAGAACAGATGAAGCTATATGATTGAAACTTGATACATATGTAACTAAACATTGTTTTTGGTGGTTTCTATTGTTTTACTTCAAGAGGACAAGAAGGCAGAGAGATATTAGAGGAGTGCCTATTGATCACAGAGAGGTACAAAGGAAAGGAGCATCCTAGCTTAGCAAGACACATGATAAATCTCGCAACTTCGTACACACGGTCAAAGAGTTACGCTGAGGCAGAGCATTTGCTGAGAAGAAGTTTGCAAATCATGATAAAGCATAAGGGAACTGATGATCAGTCCATCAGCTTCCCTATGTTGCAACTTGCAGCTACACTATACCATTTAAAAAATGACGAAGAAGCAGAGAAACTCGCCCTAGAGGTTTTGCGCATCCGCGAAAAGGCATTTGGAGAAGATTCTCTTCCTGTTGGGGAGGCGTTGGACTGCTTAGTGTCTATTCAAACCAGACTTGGTAAAGATGACAGAGATTTACTGGAGGTGGTTAGAAGGATACTGAGTATCCAAGAGAAAGGATTCGGATATGAGAGTGAGCAAGTTTTGCTTACCTTGAACAAAATTGTATACTACTTAGATAAGTTAGGGAGAAAAGATGAAAAACTTCTTCTGCAGAGAAGGCTATATGTGCTTAGGAAGAAATATAAGCACATGGTTAATCACTAAATTGGTGTAATATGTTTATAATGTTTGCAATATTGGAAATAGATGAGTATTAGTAACATTCTATATTAGTATTCAATCTTAGCGTCATCTTCTTTCTTTACTTTTACTATTAGTATGATAAGAGCCACAATTGGAACAAAAAAGTATTAGATTGGAGTTTTTCTTTAGTCTTACATTTTGATTTTTAATTAGAAAAATAACATGATATTTTTGCTATTTAAACACACAAGGTAGGTATATGAATTGAATTTATATATATATTTTTTAATCAACAAGAGGTGTGCCATGAGCATCACCTATGTATAATAGTGGGAGGGGGATATTGAACCAAAACCCTCTGAACCTAACCAAAACAGAAACACAGGAAATCTGGACGATTACCAGCAAAAGACTTGACAGAGTCTGAGACATAATTCCACCAACAATCACCCTGAATGAAAAGATCAAGGATAGTCATCTTGTCTCGCACAATGATTTTCTTCTCTGAAAATATGAGATACAACGAATGTCATATTGAAAACGATATAGTTCAACCACATATTCCTTAAATGACAAGGAACAATCGAAGGGTTCAAAAAAGTTTGACAAACTAATTTGGAATCCATTTCAGGCCAAAGATGAGACCACCCCTTTTGTGAGAAAACTGGAATGGCTTTCATAGCACCACTTAGTCAGCATGAAAGGCAACGTAAGTGCCTAGGTTGCTATCAAAGCATCCAAGAAACTCATAATTGTGGTTTCTGAAAAAACCCACCAAATGCAGTAGGTTTTGGGGCATCTATAGCAGCTCGATCACAATTGCATTTTGTAACACCCCACACATATATATCTAAAATAATATGTATGTGGTATTATATAATGGTACATGAACGTCATACATAAGCAGTGGAATAAGATAAGTATCAGTATAAAATACAAAATTCAGATGTATTGTGGCCAAAAAAATACATGTCTGAAAGTACTAATACATAATCCAAGAGTACATAAACTGAAAACTCTGAAAAAGCGATAAGATATAACCAGAAGACATCTCTGACAAGCTAGGTCATCCTACCTTTTCCTTTGTCCTGCCTCGAGCAACCTGAAAAAATATAATTGGATTGGGATGAGATTACTAAATCTAAGTGAGTCTCCCTATCTTAAGGGTTCACTCGATTCTACAGGGTACATGCATATAACATATCCATTATTGATCCAGGGTTTCCTCACGGTCAAGTACAATACTACACAACAACACAAACATCGCAATGGAAGTCCCTTGACTATCCAATGTGAAATCACCAAACACACAAACCAAATAAGTATGCAGACTCGTACTTGCGTACAAGGAATCCAAAAGTAGTATCTTCCTCTACCTAGGCCACACAATCACACCCTCGGTGAGTAACCAAGTGCCTAAAATCAAGAGACTTACACAAGCACACCGCACGATGAATCAGATGAGTACATCGAAACTCAATCTGGTACCAAGTGAATTACGCCTACGTGACTACACAAGCCCATATGTGACGAGTACATCAAAACTCAATCTGGTATGAAGTGACATTTGTCTAAGTGAAAACACGATCTCGTCAATCATCAATGCGCAAATGAGTAGCGCCGAGTGCAAAATACATCGTCATGACTGCACAAGCCCACCAGACGAAAACACTAGTGATATTGTCTACATGACATCACTAGAGGCAAATCCAATATAATATTGCCTATGTGGCATCACATCCCCACCATACCGATCACGCTGATGAGTAACGTTGAGTTGGTATACACCATATAAACCCCCACAAGCTCATCGCAATGGTAGCTCAGGTGTGTACCACATACCAATAACACCGATGAGTAACGTCGAGTGGGAAACTCCCTTTAAGACCCTCACAAGCTCATCGCAATGGTATCCCATTAGACCCAGTCCGTAATCGTAACGCGATTTACCACCTAGTAGCTTAGGCCTACTCCTATTCAAGCATACACTACAGCCACGCACGTTCAACCAGAACGAAAGGAAACACATCCAAGCAAATAATCACATCACAACATTTTTAACACAATGCATTTACTATAGCATAAAAGTGATCATATCATGGCATTACACAATCCATAATACTAGTCCTAACAGACAAAGAAGACGTCCGATTCATATTATCGATCGGAACTACACTCAGGGGAATTAAACATGCATTTTTGCTCAGAGGAGTTCGCTAAGCGAACATGCAGTGAAGGGTACTTCGTTGAGGAAAGTCCCAGCGAACGCAGACAAAAGATTTTCCAAGTTCTGGATTGGTAGGTTCGCTACACAAACTAGCAGAGAAAGGCACTTCGCTACGCAAGGCCTAGCGCACTTAAGAAAAATGTCCCAGGATTTTCTTCCCCGGTTTCATCAAGTTCGCTAAGTGCTAAAGCGGTAAAGCGGCAAGCAAAAGTAAGTATTTTTAGGGTGATATAGGTTATATCGTATCGTCTCCACAGGGATTAGTGCTACTGAATTATCGTTCGACAAATCTCTCGTTAATGAGTGTGGGTTTGAATGGGTTTAAAGTAAATGCAGGGATTTAAAGTTATTAACAGGAAAAGAATTCATTCTTTGGAGAAGAGACTTATCAAGCATGCATATAGTTCACTCCTCACAAAATTAAACCTATCGACCAATTATACTCAATCTACAATACTCATCAATGTTATCACGTATCAAACACAACACCCATTGCATCATCAAGGAGGCGATCTCTCAACCAACCTCAACATCACATAAGTCAACTGTGTTACTCGCGTTAACGATCTCTCATCACAATACTGAGACATTAATCACAGAACCCAAGTGAATAATAGCTCTAAATCTATCTATAGATTCTAGACACTATTAGATAACCATCCTAGATAAGAATTCGAGCAGTATATGTCTATAGCAACCTAAAATTCAAGCACAGAGCAAAAATCTAGGATAATAATCGATAAAGATTTGTAAAGCAAGCTTTATACAACACCATGACAATAAATATACATGAGTTCAAAGTAAATACATATACAAATCCAACAAATAGAGAATACACAAAGAAAAAGAGAAATGAACCATAAATCTCTCAGTTTGCCAGCGCCGATCGATGAGCAATCCATCCCAGATCATCTGTATGCAAGCTTCATTGTTGTTTTCTAAGCTAATCTACTAAAAAATGAGGTGATGGAGTTGGGAGAACAAAAACACCCCCAAAACCACCACCTAACAAATGAATGTTATAAAACAAATTTCAGCAGAACGCGCTAAGCGGGTCTGGCGCGCTAAGCGCGACTTCCTTATTTTACACATCAAACCGCCTAAAATCGCGCTAAGCAGACTCAAAAACTTTTCTTCTGCCAAATCTGTCAAAACACTCATAGTGCGCTACGATTTTCACTTAGTGTGCCTGCTTGGACATAACTTCTCAAAAATGGACTTTTATTCCAAAAACGCGCATCCGAAGTTGTGCCTTCGACAACTTTATTTCTCAATGCTCCAAATGTGCAACAAATACCTACAAAAGAAGTCAAATCTATCAAACGGTACACAAAAGAATCAAAATAGAAATATTTACAAACTAAACATATTTACACAAAATTCAGATTTATTCAACTGATATTAACAACAAAGAGTCTATAAGTGCAACAAAAAGTATATACAAAAATAGATACAAATTGCACTTATCAAACTCTCCCCAACTTGAACTTTTTTGTCCTTAAACAAGGCCAAACAAACTTAAAGAACAAAATTAATCAACCAAAGAATCATGAATCAACAAGTTTGAAAAACGGAAACAAATGTATGGTTCAAATAAAAACACACAAGCAAGGTAAATACTTACCACAATCTTACAACGATAACATGTAAACGAAACAAATCCTAAGTACAAAAATCATACAAAATATTCTAAAATAAAACAAGCTTAATCATGAATCACGCCTAGTAAAAATTCATCGGTATATGAAGAACACACACAAGTGAGGTACCTGACACTCATCCACAATCTTGCAAACAATAGATTAAATTATGCATTCATTCAAAAACTCATATTGAAAATATAAGGCAAGAATCACAAGGGCTTTTCAAGGTTTTAATGTTGCTTGGTTAACAAATAAAGGATAATTCCTAAAGCTAATCAAAACAAAAACTAGCCTAAACCTAAGGGATGATCATCTCACAAAGTTTCAATCAAACTTCTTCTTTCATCCCAAGTGTTACACCAAACACGCCTTATTTATTAACACAACATTATTCCATACTCCTTTTGTTTTTCTTTTTCAAAGAACTTTCAATTTTTTTTTCTTTTTCTTTTCTTTTTCTTTCTCTTTTTTCTTTCTTTTTCTTTTTTTCACAGCCGCGTAGCAATCACAACATAAGTTAGAAAACAATTACTCTTCCTAATTTTAATTCAACCAACATTAATGTGAATACTCCATACTTTCTAAGGCAAGGTAAAAATTCAAACCAAAACAATGGTTGAGGGCTCAAGAAAACAAAGAATCAATGTCCATTCAAAAAGGAAAACCAAACACTCATAGATAAGCGTTAAGTTCAAAAACAACATGAACATTGATAAAAAGGCTCAAAAGGGGTTAACAAAAGTGAAATTCTGGCTGCAGATACTCAATGTCACGTTCAATGTTATGACACCGTATCTGACTTTCTATAAGACAGTAAATACAAAAACAGTAAAGAACACAGTCAATTGTTTACCCAGTTCAGTGTGCAACAACACCTACTCTGGGGGCTACCAAGCCAGGGAGGAAATCCACTATAAGAGATGTTAATTCAGGAATAAACCAACCAGTTTATCTCCTTCACTTAAGACTTACCCAATGCAACTTCAATCTAAGTACAACTTAAACCTGAGTTCCTACTCACTCCCCCTCAATCACAGCAGTGATACATAAAACAATTTGACTAATAAATTGATGAAGACACTCTTCAAAACATACACTTGATTATGCTTCACAGCTTTTTAATCAAGCAACACAAACACTCTTGCTTCACA